CACATTCGCAGATCTGAACAATCGTAATATAATAAACTTATACAATACGAAAATTGGAAAAATAAAATACTTCGCCTTTAAGAATATCGCGAAAATCAACCAAATCAACCTCTATTCCTCCTCAATTGGCACCATAGAGACAAATGCCTTTACGGACATTCGAAACCTGACGGCGCTTTCGATTTACGAAACGAATATCACAACCATCGAACCATACGCCTTCAATCACATCAGGGATTTAATAGAATTTTCAATTTATGATGTGGAAATCGACAGTGTAAAAACTCAAGCTTTCGCTCACTTCTCTCTTTTACAAATGTTTACGATATCTGAATCAACCCTAAACATAATTCGGGGGTTGGATGGCCGAATGGTTAGCACGTGCGTGCTGTATCATAAGGCCTGTCATTGAGTCAACTGGCGTGGTTTCGAATCCCCGGTTGTACGTGGCAAGGAGTAGGGTCGCCTGTCCAACCTCGTGGGTTTTCCCCGGGTCCTCCGCTTTCCTCCCACTGCTAAAGACCCATACGCGCAAGCGAATTATTGAAATAAAATTAAACCATATGTTAGTCCCGAAGTGGCCTGGTTTGTGTCGAGTGGACGTTAAACCCCATTTCTCTCTCTCTCCTAAACATAATTCAAAATAACACATTTTATAAATTTCTAAATATAACAAATATATCGATTCATCGTAATACATTTGGCGAAATTCAGTGCAACACTCTGGACATTTTATGGAATTTATTTGACATCGAGTTTCTGAAAAATCGTGTAACGTGCGACTGTAAATTGTTCTGGTTTTTCAACGACGTCAATGTAAACCCTGCAGGGAGAGCTCGCGAAATCCTTAAAAATGTTTGCAACGCTCGACAGAACTTGATCAACCAAGATGCGATAGCTAGTGGTCAAACAATCTCAAGCTGTTCGGGGGAGAAAGAGACATGTCCGTCAGTTACCGACCTAAACGTATAGAGAGATGTGGGAGACAACGGGGGATCAAGCGCTGAGAGTTTATTCAAGCTCCAACCTTTTTTTTATGACATCAGTGCTTGTTATAACGTTCCTTTAGTTACACATGTTATAAACGATACCTACAGCTGCTGATCGGCATTTAAATTTGTATAATCGGCCAATATTTGTTTTATTTCGCGGATTGATTGACGCTAAAATAAACTAAATGGTAATTTAACATTTGAATAAGAAAACAAAACTATTTTTAATCACCCGGCTTCCGTTCAATCGGATAAAAGAGGCACGCGAAAAGATATCCCAAATATTGACAAATTTTGAATTCAGAATATATTTGTAAATACTGAATTGAATTGCACCATTTTGGACTAATATTTCATCTATGCCCAGTCTCCACTGTCGTGCGAAGTTTTACGATAAGATTGTCCCGATTGAATCCACGATCTGCTATGTTAGGATACGATTGACCCCAATATCATGGTAGGATCACTTCGTTTACTAAACGTGGGTTTGTTTTTCCAAGATAATTATTAGCGGTATTTGCTATCAACAAATAGAGCCACACAAATTCGATTATTTATTTGCGACATGATATGGTTCATTATTATGGTTTACTATACTGGGGTTCTATCGTGTACTGGGTGGGTGGGGCCGAATGGTTAGCACGTGCTCGCTGTATCATACGGTCTGTCATTGAGTCAACTGGCGGGGTTTCGATTCCCCGGTTGTACGTAACAAGGAGTAGGATCGCCTGTCCAACCCCGTGGGTTTTCTCAGGGTCCTGAGGTTTCCTCCCACTGCTAACTAAAGACCCATACGCACAAGCGAATTATTGAAATAAAAATGACCTAGTTTGTGTCGAGTGAACGTTAAACCCCATCTCTCTCTCTCTCTCACTCTCTCTCTCTCACTCTCTCTCTCCATCTCGCTTCCCAAGTGAAACAAAACATATCAATGGCATGTGACGATATTACATATGGCAGATGAAGGCGTTCTTTGATTACTTGTTGTTTGTTTTGATTATTAAAACCCGTCTGTATCATTAAGCCCGTCGTACACGAGCAAAGAAAATTTGACAAATTTCTTTGACGGTCTCTTCAAATTTTCTTTGACCGTGTACGAAGCCAGCAAATAAATTTGACGATCACAACGCCACTTCACATGGTTGGTCGGAACTGTGAAGGAACTGCATTCATAGAACAAAAAGAAAGCCAACTTGTGTACAAAAAATTCAGAATAGTGATTTCCCAGCATGATTACGATGCCTTTGACGCGTAGAAAAGCGGCCATGGGTTGTGGAATAGGTGTTCTGTTGTTGATGCGGTTGTTCTTGTTTCGGTCCTTATACTCCTTACTTGAAGTGTTCCATAAGAACTCGCGCCTTCGCAGTCCGTCTAGCAGGATTTCTACCGTTCGATCAGTCCAATTAATAGGCATATTTTAAATTTAATCAACGAAACGATAATCGAAAGTTCAACTACTTTTTCTTTGCACTTATCCGCCCCTGCGTCGAAAAATGAAAGTGAAATCATTAGATGCGTGCGCAGATTTGTGGCAAATTTATTTGACGGTCTATCGTACACGAGCATAAGTTTCAAATCTTTGACACATTTATTTGACGAAAAGCTAGCATGCCAGCTTTTGTCAAATCTCATATGACAAATGAAAATGTGGCGATTTTCCTCGCGTATACGAGCAAATTTCTTTGACAAATCTCCATTTGTCAAAGAAAATTTGCTCGTGTACGACGGGCTTTACAGGGTGAAAAACGATAGTTAAATTATACGTCAATCTGCTTTTATAGGAAAAAGAGAATTAATTTTCCCAAATCCCCAAAATAGATGACTGGAATATTTATCGAATGGAAAGTGAACCTTTAATGAACAAAGATCTTCGGATTTGTAGTTTCTAGCTTGGGCGGATTTGTGATTTGAATCCATGTAACATGCGCAGTAAAAAATTCGATTACGCTACACTATGATAAACTTTTATAGGGTATTAGGGAACACATAGGCCCTATTTATATTAGCTTATCATCATATATCGGTATTATGATACAGCTTGTGAACTATACATATACTAATGTCCAAAAGAAAGTATACGCTGTGCATTTTGTGCTGCATCAACCAAAGTCGTTTATCCATGACATACGGTATTTGGGTAGAATGTCAATTTGTTTCACATTTTTATTTTGCTTAGAAATGTTGAGTTTGGACGCAAGAGACAAACTCAGTAATGCTTTATCAAATGTTTTTAATCTAAACAAAACTTAGTCATACTTTTAGTGTGTATACTTTCTTTTGGACATCAGTATATATCAACCATCGCATTTTCCATAACATCAGTTGCATATACAATTTAAATCTACAATTTAAAACAGTACAATAATGCTGGGATTGGACGCCCTACAAATCACTAAAAGTATAACAATCGCTTGTTAATTTTTTGTTCCAATTTACCAATAGCCAAAGGTTTACACTCAATGAAAAGGATTGATCCGCGCGGATATGTTTTAGCCGTGATCATTTTAAATCCTGCTGATGGCAAGATATGGGTAATTTACCAGAAACGTTCCATGTTTTAAGAAATTTTCTGTCGACTAACGTACTGTTTATATAAAGTTAACAATATTAATCAGTTCACTTGAACTAGTTTCAATAAAATTATGCATTATAACTATTTTTATTTATTTCTATTTTTGCTTCTTCAGATTTAATTTGGTTCTTCGACTGTATCAAGTTATACATGTTTTTGTTATATAAGTGTATTAATTTGTCAATTAGGGAATAAATGTTTTTAAAAGGTTTAAGTCATTGTTTTTATATCTCTATGCCAAAAATAATAGCCCAAACATTTCACAGAATATCTGGATTTAAGTATATCAAAAGTTAAAGACATATAACCAGTTTTTATTGTCAGTTTAAAATACTGAGCCATTCAGATATGACTGCCGAAATTGCCACGAGCGCAAGGTTTTTCAGGCTAAAGTCTAACCAGAAACACTTATTATCCACACATAATAAAAGTTATATTACTTTTATTCAGGCCCGGTGGAGTGAGGGGGGGGGGGGGGGCTCGAGTTTTTTTTTTACATATTTCAAATTTTGCGTGAAAAGCAGGGGCTATAGCTCTAGAATGTAAAGTCTGGTGCTACCAAAGTCGAACTCATCCAAGAACTTTTGACCCTTAACACACAGTTTAAGTTTCATCGTGAAAGGTCCACAAACTTCATTCATAATCCACATTTTGTGTAACAGGCAGGGGCAGATGCGTAAGAAAATTGAACTCCCCCAAGAACTAGTGATACTCGTTTTAAGTTTCATCTAAATCGGATAAAATTGTGACCTCTAGATGATCCACAACCTGGGTAGTACATGCTTTTATTATACTATTTTCGTAAAGGGGGTGGCTATTTGACGGGGAAGTTTCGGTCCGATTTTGAAGAAATGATTATGGTGTAACGGTGGTACACTGAAAAAAAAACTTGTGTTGAATCAACACAAACTTGTGACAAGTTAGGTGTCTCTATTTAACAACACAAACTTGTGTTGAAACAACACACACTTGTGTTAAATGTTGAAACAACACAAAACTTGTGTTAAAATTTACCAAACAACACAAACTTGTGTTGAAACTTGTGTGAAAATCTACACAATACTTGTGTTGAAACTTGTGTTGAAATTTCTGAAACTTGTGTTGAAATTTCTGAAACTTGTGTTGAAATTTCTGAAACTTGTGTGGTTTCATAAAAACTTGTGTATAACCACCAACAAAATTTGTGTTTTATTTTCCCTTAATTTAGCAATCTTTCCCATGCAGCCCCCACCCCTTTTGCTCTGTTTAACCTGTAAAGTTTGATAAATGAGGTAACAATAATTTTATTTGTTAAATTATCATTTAGTCATAAAATGATAGGAAAAAGTAAATTAACACCACCAAATCAAAACTAAATAGACATCATTTGAAATGTTAAGAGAAAAACAGAGATATAATTCTAATACTAATAAAATCTAAATTTAATAACATCCAAACTAAGCCCTAATTAGATTAATTATGCACTAAATTGAAATACTTTCAGAAACTGAAAAGTGCTACAAAGTCATATTACAAGTGATTTGTGAGGCATCTAGAAATAACTAGCATACACAGAAAACTAACAAAAGAAAAATGCACTATTTTGCAGGAGTAATAAAATGATGTAGAACCTTTTCCTCATTAAAAAAAACAACAAACAAAATGAATATTTTGTACATAAAAGGAGCAAAGCATCAAGATTACAGGATTGAAAAATAAAAAAATATCAGAGAAAATCGCAAACATTAAATAATATGTACAAAATATATATAAATAATCACAAGTCAAAAGCAAGGAGGAGTCACTGTGGTTCAGTGAGTATAAGGCATTGGCCGAGAAATTTCAATTGGATTTTCCGACATAGTTCCCACACGTCAGTAGTGTAGGACATGGCAAGGGATAATTGGGTATAAGCCCGGAATTGAAACTATCCCCACTGCGTTTACTTTAAAGAACCCTTGACAATTGAATTATCTGACTCAATGACAGACCTTCTGATCCAATGTGCGTGTGTTAACCATTCGGCCCTCCTGGGTTCCCTTTAAACAACCCTTGACAGTTGAAATATTTGATATAAGAGTAGGTTGTAGGGCAGAATCACCATATTAACACAGAAAAGTAGGATCTTAAACCCTATTTCATTTCATAAGCAAGGGAAAGTCACCTTAATGTAGGTCAAGGTTTTTTGTAATTCTGGGTATATTTGATCTACATTTGGTTTCTAGATTATGCCTATTAAATACTTTATGATTTCCGACCAAATTCTAAGTGATTAATATGTCACTTTACATTCTATATTATACATAAATTTCTGTAGAGAATTAAAATCTAATTGTGTTTGGGAAGAATATTTAACAGTAAAAACAAAAAATAAATATTCAAAAATTGGGTCAAATGCATTCTTTTCCAGAATTTTAAAATAAATTGATGCTTGGGATCTCTTGTTGTTATCATACATCAAATAATCTTCCAGCCTAAAAAATAAAAAGTAGGCAATAAGAATACTTTCTTACTATTTATGGTTCACAATGTTTAAATAAACAATTTATTTTGCCACATCGAGACTGAGTCTCTATTTTGTTTCATCTTTGGGTAACACTTATTGTGTCTTGTCCAGTAACAGACCCAGGCAGATTATTATATTTTATTTCCATCGACAACAAATTGGATATTGCCTATTAAAATCTATTTGAAAAGTAAAATATTGTCCATCAATTTTATACTGCTATTTACTGTAAAAATACACATAGGGTCTATCACAACTTGAAGAAAATCAATGGATGTGATTGTCAAAAATCAAGAATGCCAAGACTTGAATAGGAGAGTCCTAGGTATTTCCCCAAGAAGAATAACTAGATTACCAATCAAGTGTATAGAACTAGTTGATGATTAAAAATACAAATATGTATGTTACTTACATTTTACCTGATTATCAAGCTCTGTGAGAAAAAGTTTCCATAATATGAATAGCCATTTTCAACTGTCTTGATCTTTCTGATGTAGTTAACGGAGAAAAAAACATACTATGTATTAGTTGACTTAAATCGACTCGACAGTTAAAAGATGAAAGTTTTAATTTAATTACATTGTATTGTAATGTGTTGGTTTGCTTTGTCACAGATGAGACAAAATGAAAAAAATGAAATGGAATGGGGTTCGGCGTCCTACTGTTCAGCTGTCTTTGTAAGGCCCTCCGTTCTGCATTGTCTTACTGCAAACCCGCGACCTTAAAATATGCGAACCAGTGTCTAACCCACTTGGTCACCGTAGGTCCCCACAGATGAGATAGTCATATCTACATGTATCTGGACATAAGTGAGATTCTGTCTGTGCACATACATGTACTTCACAGTTTTACTATACTAAACTGAATTTTAAATTTCAAAATATTAAAATGAAATCAAGGTTTATGTCACATCAGCTCCAACCGGGCTATATTGTGCCAAACACATTATGGTGAGATTCTAAAATACCACAACAACAATCTTTTCTATTAGAATTGAACACTCACCCTCAAAAAACAACTATGAGAAATCATAGGTGCTCAAATCACCATTTCTTCAGCTCTTTTTTTCCCATATTTGGGTTTTTTGACTTATTTTATTATATGATCTTTGATTTGCTATGGCATCTAATATGGAAACTGAAAAATATAAATATGTGACATGTAATTAACTGTTTAAGATACCTTACCATATACAAACTGTGTGATATCTAAAACCATTTGAATCCCGAAGATCTTACCGAAGCCGTGAAAATCTGTTTTAATAACCCTTGTTTGTCATGTGACTGGACTGTCACAGTAATTAGAAGAGAGCCATGTGGCTTAGTGTGTAAGGCACTGGCTTGCTACCCGGGAGGTTGCAGGTTTGCTCCCAGTGTTGACCGAGAAAGCTCATTTGGATTTTTCAGCATGGATTCCCTGTCTAGTCGTCATGGTGGCTAAGTGGGTAAGACGCTGGCTCGCTAGCCTGGAGGTCGGGTGTTCGATCCCTGCATTGGCCGAGAAAGTTCACCCAGATTTTCCGGCGTGGTTCCCCCTTGTCAGTGATGCAGGATGGAGGGCCTGACAAGGACAGTTGTCTAGTCATTCGGATGATACGAAAAAACGAGGTCCCGTGTACACGTTGGCGTCCACGTAAAAGATCCCTTGACAGTTGGAATTCGATACACCGCAGTGCCGCTGTCCGGGCAAAATTTCCCTCATAGCACACTGTGTGGTGTATGCCTGTCTTCATTAGCCCAGTTCGGAGCAAAATAGTAGGACGTTAAACCCCATTTCATTTCTAGTCGTTTAAATGGAACACAAAACCTGAGGTCCAATTGGCGTGCATTTAAGCCGATAGTATGGTAGTTGGAATTTGTTGGCTGTAGCACCCGTGTCACAGTTCGACTGCTAGTTTGTGATACCCACTCGATATAAATGAGTGGTGATTGGCTAATGAATTCTAAAATCAGACGAATGCTTCGGCGAAGCGGACAGCCGGACACACCACTCAAATACAATTCGACCAAATATATTAAACATGTTTGATTCGGGCGTATATCAGTGGATAAACTAGGTGAAGTTTAGCGCCAATTGATTCAGCCGAATCCTTTGGCTAGTTTATCCAGCACTGATGATTTAAGTTTGTACTTTCTTTATATGCAAATATCACATTTGAAAGAGGCTGTAGGCCTACTTTCTTTATATGCAAATATCTTATTTGAAATAGGCCATTATTATGTGATTCCCCACTTGAATGTGACTAGGAATAGGGTCGCCTGTCCAGCCTTGTGGGTTTTCTCCGGGTCCTCCGGTTTCCTCCCTTTGCTAAATACCCCTAGGGTGTATTCGAAACAGTGTTCCGGTGCAGAGAACGGACGGAGAATGGGTTCTTGTCGGACTTGAGCAGTCTGGAATGCGTTCACGAACACGTTCCCGTTCTCAAATCCCACACTACCTCATAGCTGGTGTGAGGGAGAACAAACATGGTCGACGCATCGATAACTGCTGAGAAAACAGCATCATGGGTGCATTTATTAATTTAAAAGTTTAATACCGTTCGAAAATTGGATGTAGTATGTGGCCAGTATAACATCAAATAAGTTAGGTTGCCAGGCAACGAAACATATGCCCACAGCAGTTTAATCGTTTGCTCAGTCAACAGGGATTGTCGCATATTCATTCTTTTGTAGATAATGTGGGCATTTACAAGAAAAGATTATAATTTTTGTCGTTTGTGGGTTTACAAAGGTTCTACAAACTGAAACAAGGGCCTTAATTGTTGAAATTTGACAGATTTTTTGGTTTTGTGTTTTACTAATTTAAATAATGCATACAAATCGGATGATAATTTTGTTGTTCGCGCGTTCACAAGGTTCGAAAAAGTGAAACAAGGGCCACAACTCTAGACATAATTCACGGAAATCGCAGAAATTTAATAGACGTCTTCGTTTTACTAGTTTAAAAGATGCAAATGAATTTCACAAAGTGAAACACGGGCCATAACACCAGAAGAAACTAACGGAAATTATTGAAATTAAATAGGATTCATCTCATTAAAATAAACAACATATCAATTTCAAAATAATCAGGTCTGTAGATGACGGACAAACCTACGGACGAGGGCGATGACAATATGCGACCACATTTCCATGTGGGCGTATCAAAAGGTGATGTAATCGTCATCCAAAGAATTGAAAAGGAGTAAAACGGAGTCATAATTTATCAAAAGTATGCTTAATAGCGAAGTCAATACCAAACAAGTTATCGTAACAGATTGTATAAATTTAATTCATCTTGTTACCATGGATACCGTTCTCTCATGTTCGAGACTCATGAAAGTGTTTTCATGTTCTTCAGCCGTTCTCGAACCTGCGCGAACACTGTTTCTAATACACTCCTACGGTACGCGCAAGCAAATCATTCAAATAAAATTGAACAATATTAGCCTCAAAATTACCTAGCGCCAGTAAGTATAAAGGATCTATCCGACAAACACTAACAACAACTCTAGGTTTATGCAGAATTAATATAACACATATACACAGATGGCAATAGAATGAGAAAGTGTTCAGGAAAAGGGCGGAAACGGAAGAAGACTACCCGTCCTACTTGATTCTAGGACATAAAGCATGGGCCTACTTGATTCGACCAATTTAATACAAGGAAATGAATGGCATAGTTTGTGTCAAGTGAATTTAGTGAATTTTAAACCCCATTTACTCGCCCTCTCTCTACAGAGATAAATACTTTTCCTGTTACATACAATAACAATTATTGGCCATTATTTAAAAAATATATTAAAAGGAAATGAAATTCTGTTACCTGTTTTTCTTTGTGTAGTACATGCTAACATCAATGACTGGAAAAAAAATAACGAAACTGTAGAGAAACTTCTGAATCATTGAAAGTCTAATTATTAGGCCTACACATTGATGACATTGATGTAAAAAAAAAGGCTGATTTGTTTGTTGTTGTTTTTTTCTTTTACAGAAATATTAAGATTACATTTCAAATAAACAACTAACACAAAAGTTAGTATCTAGCTATAGTCCATGTCTGGATATACATTTCTCCTTTTTTTTGGCCCGAACGTCTATAAAAATCAAAGATGGCGGCCAATAATTGCAACCGGGCATTACTATAAAATCAAGACAGATTCTTACCTGCTGGTCCTAGTCGGGGGTTTCTTGCAATTATAAGTATTTGAACAACGGTGTAGCGCCGATTAGCTAATAATAATTAAGCACGATTTCAGAAAAATTAAGACAGATTCATTAGATTGCTGAATTAGCGGAACACTTTTAGAACACATCAAAAAAAATTTCTTTGTGGCGCCATTATATAAATAGAATTCCGGTGCAGTCAGTGGCAGTGGTTCTAAATCTGACTGTTTTAAACGAAACGAATTATTATATACATAGAAGCAATATATACATGCTAAATTAAATACACGGTTTTATTTTTTGTAAAAATTTACAAACCTGCGGTCTGGTATTCTATGTGACCATTATAATTTTTTTTTAAAAAAATATCACGGCTAAAGCACTCTGTTGATGCTAACGTCACTACATCTAACTGAATGTCGCTGATATAATATCAAAGAAAGAATTTGTCGCAATGACTAAAGTATAGATACTTCTTCTTAGTTAGTTGTATTTTACGTCCGCTTCCACCGAAGTGATAGCGCAGACAAAAAGTATAGATAACTTGGAGAACCATTATATCAATAAGTCGATTATGAGATACACGTGGATGATCAATTAAATTTGATTGGTTACTTTTCAGTTAACCAATACTGTCCAATTTCGATTACATCAACCAATTACATTATTAAGAGTTTTACTCATTTTTTTTGTTCATTGCACATTGAATCAATTTTCGAAAACACCAGGGTGCTGAAAATCACATGTACACTATATATTCATTTGGTCTATCAGTTTATTGGGTCAATAAAAAAAGACAGACATTTTAACTATACAGACAACTTAACACCAATTAACATTCAATTCTGTCTGGCAATTGTCTGATTAATTGGTACTCACTCCCTTCCAGTGAAGAACAGTATGTGATTTTCGAGATGTGAATTAAGCCCTTTATTACTTTTCTTAAAACTTGACGACTCCCGAATTAAGACTTTGTATGGAGTTTTTTTCTTAAAAAGAAAACAAATCGTGGAAGGTACACATTACTTGTGTTAATGATATGAAAAAACACACAAGATTTTATAAATCGACACAAGTTTGTGTTAATGCAATGCAAAACAACACATAACTTGTGTAGATTAGTTTTAACACAAGTACTTGTGTTGAGATCCAACACAAGTGTTTTTTCAGTGTATATTTGATCAGTTTTGAAAATAAGATACAAAGTGATATTTCGTACAATCAGGGGGTCACAATATCGAACGGAACCCAGATCTTTCGGATATAAATATATATTTTAAGTTTCATCAAAATTGGATAAAAAAAAATTCGAACCGCTGGATGGTCTACAACCTGGGTATTACAGCCAAGTCTAAATATTGAAGCCACCGGCAGATTTCGTCAAGGCCACGAGATGTAAGCAGGGTTAGGGCACGTGATTGTTGCCGAAGATTGTGGGTTAGGGTAAGGACTAGATCTTGGGTAAGGGTTGGTGCTAGCCCTGCTTACATCTCGTGACCTTGGCGAAATCTGCAAGTGGCCTTAAAATTTAGATCTAACCTGAGTATTACATGCTTTTAGAGGAGTTCGGGCAATTCGGTCCGTTTTTCAGGAAATGCGAAATCAACCATAATTATGCTGTAACGGTGATATATTCGAACCACAAGCTAAAAACGCGATTTTTCGTACAAAATCGTTTGTTTTCGTTTCGTTTCGTTTCGTTTTTTTTATACTTTCGATGGCTTACACTACATGAAGATCTGACTGGCAGTAGGGATAGGTCGCGTCAGAGGTCATACGAGCGGCTTTTGACCCTATTTCCTCAGACATTTGATTAACCAATCAGCATTGATGTTACTAGTGGATTACCCACAGTTCCGTGCAAAACACGCCTAAAGATCACCGTTACAGGCCGTTTCATGAGCTTATAGCTCACATCATCCAGACCACGTCAATGATAACAACTTTTCCAGATCCTAGAGTAGTAAAGACGAGTAAAATGAAATTTTAAACTATAAAAACGAAACGAAATAGGGTCTGTGTTTTAATCAGATTATTTCCATATTATAAGGTTTTGTTGTCTGTTACTGTACTCGATCGCCAAATGACGCTCAACGATTACAAAATTAATAAATTTCAACTTACTTTCATAAATATATTTGTCCACTCGACACAAACTAGGCCATTTCGGGACTAACACATGGTTCAACTTTATTTCAATAATTTGCTTGCGCACAGGGATCTTTAGCAGTGGCAGTGGAGGGAAACGAGAGGACACAGAGAAACCCCATGAGGTTGGACCTGCAACCTTATCCCTTGTCACATACAATTGGAGAATCGAAAGCACGACAGTTGACTCAGTGACATCATTATGATACAACGCACACACGCTAACCATTCGGCCAACCGTACCCCACCCCACCATATCTTTTGTGCTGATTGTTTTGTTTGGTCGTAAAATGTGTGGAAACGGGGCAAAATTGTCAATTGCCATGCAATTTGGCAAAAAGAACAGTATATTATCAAATATAAATATAATTTATTATTATATGAATTGAAATAATGGTGGATTTGCGTAGATTTGGGTAAATCGTGCTACCGTAGAATTACTGAAAAGATCATGACACAGTACCGGTTTCTATATCTCAGCCAATAGTCAGGAGGCAATTTATGCATATCAACACGTGATCTATAAATAGATCTATAAATAAGCGCACAATAAATATTTAGGTCTATATGCATAAATTATTCAACACAGAGACTCTCTTCAAGTGTGCCGATAGTTACAGCTACATATCGTATTCATTTCATGATCCTGAAACAAACACATACACGGTAAGTTGTTCTAGAACAGTAGGCTGATGTTTATATGATTATAGTCTTGTAAGCTTTTGTGAATTATTCTGTATTAAATACCATAAGTATATTTGACCAAAACATAATTATCGAGTGTTTCATCCAGTTCGTTATTTGAAGGAACTTAATTCCTTTATATTAATAATATATTAATACACTGAAAAAAAACTTGTGTTGAAACAACACAAACTTGTGTTATTTTCAACACAAGTTAGGTGTCTCTATTTAACAACACAATCTTGTGTTAAATGTTGAAACAACACAAAACTTGTGTTAAATGTTGAAACAACACAAAACTTGTGTTAAATGTTGAAACAGCACAAAACTTGTGTTAAATGTTGAAACAACACAAAACTTGTGTGAAAATCTACACATTATTTGTGTTGAAATTTCTGAAACTTGTTTGTGTTGAAATTTCTGAAACTTGTGTTGAAATTTCTGAAACTCGTGTGGTTTCGTACAAACTTGTGTATAACAAAAACTTGTGTTGTATTTTACCAATTTATATCCAGTATAGCAACCTTTCGAATGCAACCCCTTCCATTCGTTCTGTTTAAACTGTAATTATTGATAAATGACATAATAATTTTGTTTGTTAAATTATTATTTATTCAATAAATGATATGAAAAAATAAATTAATGCCTAATTAATACCAATACAGACATCTCGAAGGTTAATAAACAAAGTTAATTCCAATACTAATAAAATTGTGTTATACAATGAAAAAATACCCCCACCCCCCATTCCCAATTATTAAATAAAAAGTAGCTATTTAAATTGAAAAATAAAGCACCGAGACATTTGGAATATTAATGAACAAAGTTAATTTCAATACTAATAAAATTGTGTTCAATAGTAACAATATCCCCCCACCCCTCAAAAAAAGCTATTTATTTTTTTTTTACAATTAACCTTAAAAAGAACTGAGAATATAATATATATGTTCACAATATCCCTACCCCATGGTCCCAAAACATACATTTTAAATATATCTAAAATTAATATCAACCAAACCAAGCACTAAAGACATTAATAATGCACTAAATTGAAATACTTTTAAGAAAAAATAGTCCCTTTAACAGATTAGGAATTCAAAATTTTCTACAGTATATAAATGGGAACTAATAGATAAAGCACAGGCAAATAATTATAGATAGATAAAATAAATATAGCATAAAAATCAAACAAAATGGAGAAAATTAAAAATTTGTAAAACAAAAATTGATTAATTAATAAAACCATTTTATATAAAAGAGGCATTAACATTCGAAATGTTCACTAAATGTTTAAAAATAAAGGTTGATTTCATCCTACAATAATACATTTTTATAATTATCGAATGTTACTATTAATTATTGATGATCCCTCTATATTATTTCAAGTTTTCAGGCCAAATCTTTAGTGTTTAGGATTACACTGCATTCTATATAATGAAACAATATTAGAGATGGTTTGGTATTTGACATTAAAAACAAAAATGTGATTAAAAAGGCAATATAACTTTTGGGTTTCCACAATAAGATCTGTAAAAGAATTTGATGACTTTATATTCAGAATTTAGAGTTGTTTTCTTTCTTTGGTATTAATATTCACTAAATAGATATAATTCTCCAAGGATGTTCAAGTGATTATTATAAATACACTTATCGACAAATGGGGTTTTGATGTGGATTTAATTTGGTACACCAGTCATGGGTATAGAGTTATTTAGGGGGCGGGGGAGTTGAAAAGAGCATAATTTAACAATATATTATATTATTTTGAGACTCATATGTATGACTACATGCGAATGCAAAAGGCGGGGGGGGGGGGTATTTTAGTCACGTAGCATTATTGCTTACTCATGTACGCCAAAAACACGTCATCTCGCTTAAACAGATGTTTTACGCCAAAACGCTTCAACTTGATTGATTGCCATGTTTTTGGTGTATATTTATATCTTTTCTTGGGCGCCGAATCGAACTACGGCTTTTAAAATGTTCCAAAATCGACGTAAATTGATTTTTTCAACGTTAGTTGGTATACAACGATGAGCACATGAGTGAGTAGACTGTGGGAAAGTTACGACAACTCATTTCCAGGCGCCATTTTGGGTCCCAATTATGACGCCATAAAAGCTATGACGTCATGGCTTCATACAGGTTTACATACCAAAATTTGTTTTTTTCTTGCAGTATTAGACGTTGAGGGATAATATAACGTTTTACCCTAAAAAAAAATGCAAAAGAAACCAATGCAGTTTGGTTCAGTGATAAATATATCAAACAAAATCATACCCAAAATCGGGGAATTTTCTGAGAATGATATCTCGTAATCAGTGTGTTTTACTATTTACTCGTTGGATTATAAATGATTTCTTTTTAAATTCCTCAAACACAGAGTGGTTATGAAAGTGAAATGTGCCGAAAAATCGAATTTGACAAACGTCAAATTAAAAAAAAGAAGTATTTGTTATATGGTGCCGGGCGTTTCTTTCATAATGGCCACCAAATTTGGTAATATTATTATTATTATTATTATTACAGCATATTTATAGCGCGCCCTTTCATAAAACATGTTCAGGGGCACTCTACAAAGTGACAATGTAATCATAAATAAACAACAAGATTATGGACATGTTAACAATTGTATACAGAGTCAGTTAAAAGCCTCATTAAATAAATGTGATTTAAGTTGTTTTTTAAAAGAATAAAGAGATGTACAACATCTTAAACTAAATGGTAGATTATCCCATAAAACAGGTGCTTGATAACTAAAAGAGACTAGTTGAACAGTTTTGGGCTTTAAAAATAGTTTATCTGATGTACGTAATGTTCGACCATTATATCGTGGTTATGTACGCGAAATGTGCGGAAATCGAATTTGACAAACATCAATTAAAGAAATGTATTTTCCACGTGGTGCCGGGCATTTCTTTTAAAAGGGCTACCGAATTTGGTAATACATGTATAAGGCAATTTAACAAAAAAACATAAATTTGGTAGACTAAAAGGGC